AACAGCATTGAAACATGTATATTATCTAGGGTGAAACAGATCACCAGCCCAGGTTGGATGCATGAGACAAGTGCTCGGGCCTGGTGCACTGGGAAGACCCAGAGGGAACGGGTAGAGAGGGAGGTGGGAGGGGGGATCGGGATGGGGAATACATGTAAAACCATGGCTGATTCATGTCAATGTATGACAAAACCCACTACAATACTGTGGAGTGGTTGGCCTCCAGCTGGTAAAAATAAATGAAAAAAAAAAAAAAAGCCTGAGTTCAAAACCAGACTCTGCCACCTTTCAGTTCTATGACTTTGGCAAGTTATTTACTAGGATGTTCTAAAGCTTTAGTTTTTCCATCTGAAAAATGGGGAGTTATATTAAGACTAAATGGAATTATGTACATTAAGCATTTAACAAAGCCTTGGACATAGCAAAGAGATTAAACATGACCTGTTATTATTGACTATCTGAAGAAGGGCTCTTGTCTGTACCTGATGTGCCCACCTGACCATGATGGAACAGGGGAGACAGGTCACCACATTCTGTGATTCCTGCTTGCCACAAGCCAAAGTCCAGCTGGGTCTAGACATGACTAAGGTCAGCACTGTTCTGGATCCTTCTACTACCAGGTCTCATTCAGATAAAGGAATTTTCTCATTTTCTCTGGAAGCCTTTCCCTTGTGAAGGTCATTTTTATTCCATGTATAGAATGTGAGCATCTCCTTTATCTCCCCCATAGTCTAGCAAAGCTGTTAAAGTCCCATCACCTCAGTGTTCTAAACCCTGTATGTTTCTTCTTGAGCACGCCTTTTCTCACACCCTTAACTCAGGAATGGAGCTCAGGTCTCCAAACTCTAAGTTTCTCATGGGAGCATTTCTGTAGTTCCCAAGAACTCAAAATAGCAAAACAATTCTCTTCCCAAATAACATTTGATATTTGCATTTTCCTCTGGCTAAAATCTGGTGGAATCCCAGAGAGAAAAAAATAAACTCATTCTAAAATTGGTCTTCGCATCTGGGTCAGATCAGATAAAAGTAGAACCCTGAGGCCTGGCTCTCCTGAAACCTCCAATGATTCACTAATTCAGTAAAGCAGCCAACTCCTTGAATGTAAATACTTCTTTCTCCTTCTTCCGGGTTTAATGCAGAAACACCAGAGGCTCTTTTATTCAGGACTGAGGCCTGTCATAATTAATGTCAAACATCACTGCGTAATTATACAACAAAGTTTGGGAGAGAGCTGGGCCCTGGTGCAGGGGGTAATATTGTTTTATTGGTGATTTTTTTTAATGTGTGTTACTAAAGGGAGGGTTTAAACATACACAAACATGCACAGAGGGAAGGATTCTCCAAGCTGGTATTTTCCAACTTTGGGCAAAGCAGACTTACTGTCTATAGTTGTAGGCAATGTCAGCGAATTGCTTCCGTCTTGCTCGGTATACAGGATCTTTAAATCCCTAGGAAGAAAGGAGACACTTGATTTCTTCAGGCTTTGAAACCTGGCCTATCTACACATGCTTTGAATGGGGGCCTTTGACCACTGACAATTCATTTTGCCTTCCCCTGATTATACTCTGAAAATAAAGTCTCAGTTAATCTGAGCATAAATTGTCCCACAAGATATCATAAGTGACACATTACTAGCCACACTTTCAATGCAATGTGAGCTCTGCCTTAGGATTCCTAAGCGCAAATGGTGTCTGGGTTTTAAAGAAACCTCATCTATAGCATTTCAAATCTATAAATATGCTAAACTAGGCAGAGTTCTTAGGATAAATGCCTATGAAGAAGATATACAATAGCCACTCAACTCCTGACCAATGGTATGAGTCCAGCACTGCCTCCTAACTTCTTAATAGACTAACAGGTAAACGCTTACTGGTATTGCAATTTTTAAAAATACCATTTATTCAGTGTCTATTATGTGTCAGTCTGTGCATGCTAGGAACTTGTAACTCTCATAAGAAACAGGCAAGGTAAACCAGTGTGATGATCCCTTTCTTTCCAGAATAAACGGTGGTTCAGAGAAGAACAATCCAGTAAAGATAAATCAGGACTTGAATCACTCAGCTCCATACTCTCTTCACTTCACTTCAGGAAATGTCAGCCTTTACAACTTGGCAGGGGCCTGACTAACTAAGATTCTGCCCCTGGGCATAAAAAGGATGATACTAGTTTCTCCTCCGAGGCTGACTTGCAGGCAGCCTTTCTCCAACTATTTGTAAACATTTCTGAGTGAAAAGAGGCCAAGAGTGTCTTTCAGTGTTGGGGTTTGGGGAAGGTCACATCCTAGAGTTGGAGATGATCCCAATTGGTTAAAAGGACATTTTCCTTATGTTTTCTTCTTGGAGTTTCATCATTTCAGGTCTTAATTTAATGCAGTTCAAGTTTATTTTTTGAGTGGTGTAAGACAGGGGTCTAATTTCATTCTTTCGCCTATGAATATCCAGTTTTCCCAACACCATCTACAGAAGAGACTACCCTTTCCCCATTGAGTATTCTTCACTCCCTTATCAAATACTAGTTGACTATATGTGCATGAGTCTATTTCCAGGCTCTTAATCTGTTCCATTAGTTCATCTGTCTGTTTTTATGCCCATACTAAAATGTCTTGATTGCTATAGCTTTGTAATATAGCTTGAAATCAGGGCATATAATTCCTCTAGCTTTGTTCTTTCTCAGAATTGCTCCTTGATCTTGGCCTAGAAAATGAATTAACCACATGAAAAGGCAATCAATAAAACAGGAGAAAATATTTGCAAACTCTTCATCAGCTAAGGAATTAATACCCAAAATATACAAGAAACTCAAACAACTCAATAGACAAAAATCAAATAGTCTGATTTAAAAATAGGCAGAGGATCAGAACAGCCATTTTTCCAAAGAAGACATACAAATGGTCAACAGGTACATGAAGAGATGCTCAACATCACTAATCATCAGTAAGATGAAACTAAAATCACAATGAGCTATCACTTCATATCTGTTAGAATAGCTATTATCAAAAAGAGGAGTGTTGGCAAGAATGTGGAGAAAGGGAACCCTTTGTGTACTATTGATGGGAATGTAAACTGGTATAACTACTTTGGAAAATAGTATGGAGGTTCCTCAAAAAATTAAAAATAGAACTACCATATGATCCAGCAATCCTACTTGTACGTATATATCCAAAGGAAGTAAAATCACTCTTAGAGAGGTACCGGCACCTCTATGACCACTGCATCTCCATTCAAACAGTGAAGATACAGAAATAAACTAAGTGTTTGCTGACAGATAAATGGATAAAGAAAATGTGGTACATATATGCAATGGGATATTGTTCATCCATAAAAGAGAAGGAAAAACCTTCTGACAACATGGTGGAACTTGAGAGCATTTTACTAAGTGAAACAAGGTAGAGAAAGACCAAGTACTGTATGACATCACTTATATGTGGAATCTAAAAAGGCCAAATTCATAGGCAGAAAGCAGACTGGTGGTTGCCAGAGAATGGAGAGTGGGAGAAACGGGGAGATATTAGTTAAAGGGTCAAACTTAAAGTTACAAGATGAACAAATTCTAGGGATCTAATATACAGGATGATGACTATAGTTAAAGTACTACTCTTTATACTTGAAAGTTGATAACAGAGTAGATCTTAAATGTTTTCACCACAGGAAAAGAGTGGTAATTATGGGAGAAGATAGAGATGTTAACTAACATTATAATATATATAGTAATCACATATGGCAATCATTTTACAATATACACACATATCAAATCAGCATGTTGTAAGTCCAAACTTACATAATGCTGTATGTCAATTATATTTCAAAAAAGCTAGAAAAAAGGCCGTTTTCCAAAAAAATTTTGATTGTAATCTGTATTTTAGTTAAACAAGATAATCAGTGTCATCACTCTAGAACTTGCTTTGTTCCCTCCAAGCATCTACCAATAAAACATACCATCCAACACTTTAGCTTGCAATTTCTGTGTCCCACCATCCCTCCAAACCAAGGCATTAATGAATCAACAACAAAGGTTTATGCCATGGAGAGTAATATTTAAAGATTCTTTTTAAAGGATAAGTACACCCTGACTTTCAGATATTGTTTTCTGCTTCACTTGATTGGTTGGTTGGAGCAGGTTGCCATTTCCTTCTCCAGGGGATCTTCCCGACCCAGGGATCGAACCCAGGTCTCCCGCATTGGAGGCAGATGCTTTAACCTCTGAGTCACCAGGGAAGCCCATCTATTTTATATATAGCAATGTGTATATATCAAGCTCTGGTGGCTCAGTGGTAAAGAATCTGCCTGCCATTGCAGGAGACACAGGTTCAATCCCTAGGTCAGGAAGATCCCATGCAGAAGGAAATGGCAACCCACTCTAGTTGCCTGGGAAATCACATGGACAGAGGAGATTGGTGGGCTACAGTCACAAAAGAGAGAGGTCATCACAAAAGAGCTGGACGCAATGTAGTGACTAAACGACAACAACATATGTTAATCCCAGCTTGAAAATTTCTCTTGGCATGCATGCTCAATCACTTCAGTTGTGTCCAACTCTTTGCAACCATATGGGCTGTAGCCCATGAGGCTCCTCTGTCCGCAGGATTCACCAGGCAAGAACACTGGAGTGGATTGCCATGCCCTCCTCCAGGGGATCTTCCTGACCCAGGGATGGAGCCAGCGTCTCCTACACTGCAGGCAAATTCTTTACTGCTGAGCCACTGGGGAAGCCCGATTTATCTCTACCCCTTTTATAATTAGAAAAAAAGGAAAATAATATTAAAAACCCACCTCAAATCATTATGGGAATGGACAGAAGATTGATACAGTGAGCTATATCAACACACCCAAATATAATATTATATTTTATATTGCATAATATTTTATATGCTATTATATGTCATTTATATAATTATGTATACTATTATTTTATAAAGATTTTCTATATGGGAAGTTTTCTAACTATGGCCTTTTCCAACTTCAAGATTCTTAGAAGATCATTATCAATGTACAAAGGAACCCTGCCAACTAGGCAGCACAGACTTCAGTTCTGTTACCAGCAAAACAGATATGCAGCCTCGGAGCCCACCTCTCGGGCATTTGGCCTTGCATCCCCTGGCTGCCAGGTGGCCACAGGGCCCTGTGACCACACGGAAGACACTCTGAATTAAGCTACAGTTGGTGATGACTAATCATCCCATCTCAATTTAGACTAATAGCAGCAATTTCAGTAGGACTGCATATCATTTATTTATAATCACCCTGTCTCAATTAAGCTAATAGCAGCAATTTTGGTTGCACTGCATGTAACCAAGTATGTTTTGACAGGAAAATATATTGTTGGTAAAGGAGTGGTGGGGGGAGGCGGAGGAGAGGCATAGTGGATGGGAAGATGGTGAGAGAAGTCTACAGGATGCAAGGTTGCAACATCACCCGCAGTCCACCTGGAATCTCTCACCGTAATCTCAGCAAATTTTTTACTTGGGGTATTGAACAGTATGATTTTGCTTCAGCAGCGTTGACTTATAGGAAGACTGAGTGCGTGCTAAGTCACTTCAGTCATGTCTGACTGTTTGCGACCCTGTGGAACGCAGCCTGCCAGGTTCCTCTCTTCCATGGGATTCTCCAGTCAAGAAGGTTGGAGGAGGTTGCATGCCCTCCTCCAGGGGATCTTCCCAACCCAGGGATCAAACATTTGTCTCTGGAATTGCAGGCAGACTAGTTACCGCTGAGTTACCAGGGAAGCCCTTACAGATTAGTAAGTTGCAAAACACTTATTTTATGATCAAGTTGCAGATGACTTCTGTCCAATAGAAAACACTCGTGGTTGTGACTTTGTTGTTTTATAGGACATTAATCACATGTACCCATCTTTGTAATCTCATTCCAGCATCCCATTTTTCAGCAACCATGTATGTTTTCATCTCATAACTTCCTTTGCACTGTCCTTGTCATCTTATTGTTTTCCTTACTCCAGAGTCCATAGGTCTTGGAGAGATGCTCACTATCTACCTATATGACAGTTGTTTTTAACTTTTTAAAAGTTATGCTTTGACAAAGCAGCTTAGTAGAAGCACAAAGAGTCTTTGATGACTCAACTCTCTGACTAATCCTTAGAACAGATCTTGACAGGACCCTGGGGTGGAGAAGGTTGGATGGGCAAAGGAAAAGGGAAACAGAAGTATTGGAAAGATAGTCCTGCTTTCAGGAAAGAGCAAGGCTCTTCTTGGAGAGCAGGGAAACTCAGCACCTATGTTCTGGAAAGATTGAAAAGCAATTTGAGAGATTTAAATCAAGAAGTAGAAAGAGACACAGAAAAGCAGTTGTATCAGCTAAAATTTTCCCCACCAGAAAGCCTCCCCTCATGCAGACCTTCAGTTTAGAAGCAGGTACAGGTGCCAGGAAAACTGGAAGAGGGATCTATGGGGTTACGGTCTGTGTGGCAGAGGCTGCTGGTGGTCCCCAAGATCTGAGCCCTCTTGCTTTCAGACAGCATTGCTAAACCACTGTTTCTGGTCTTTTTTTCAGGGAGTAGCAATGCTATGACTGAGCTGCAGGCAGTGGAGCTGAAGTGAAGGGATATGAGTCACCTTTCATCCTGGACCACAACAACCTCCCAGGAGCAATTCTCCCATGCAGAATGGAGACGGCTCCCAGGATCCAGATGAGGGTGCCACCACTAGATTGAAGGAGATTTGATCTCTGCAGGACTGTGGGAGGAAATTTCCCTTTTGAACTACATTGGAAATGAACTTTTACTGGGTTAATTCATAGAGATTTGGGGGTTGTTTGACAAGCACTTGGCCCTATTGATCAATACTTTGGTCACCTGGTGGGAAGGGTCGACTCACTGGAAAAGACCCTGAGCCTGGGAAAGATTGAATGCAGGAGGAGAAGAGGGCAGCAGAGGATGAGATGGTTGGATGGCATCACCGACTCCATGGACATGAATCTGAGCAAACTCCGGGGGAGAGTGAAAGGGAAGCCTGGTGCACTGCAGTCCATGGGGTTGCAAAGAGTCAGACACAACTTAGCAACTGAACAACAGCTATTGACCTTGATACTAGAGGGCTCACCTCAGATCTCCCTCTTTTCAGAAGTACTCCCAAACCATTCTAGTCCACAGGGACCTTAGAACTGATAGTAAGTACTACCTGACTCTTTTAAACCTGATGTTTAATCATATACTTTGTGTGTTATGATTTTACCAAATATTACTCAAACTATGTTTCATGGAACACTACCATTCAAGATAGTGCTGCTAGGTATTTCATGAAAAGGGGGTTCCATGGGTAAATAAATTTAAGGAACATTAGGTTGAATGGGTTTCATTTTTATAGGATTTTCCAAAGCCTCTAGTGAGATAATGGAACTTATAGATGATTAAAATGAGAATCTAGAATACAGACTTTATTCCTTGATCCTGAGAATTTTTTTCAAAGACTACAATTTGAGAACTAGGCAATGAATTTATTTCAAGCTGATACTGTGTTCAAAGTATAAAACCCAGTGCACACAGTTCTGCAGCATCAGTATGAAAAACTTGACCAGGAGAAACAGGTCAGGAGGAAGGCTTTAGGGAAGCCAACATATGTGAGCTGGGCCTTAAAAGATGAAAAGACAGGTTTGCCAGCAGGCAAAGAAGTGAGAGGATAAGAAAAAATAACCCAGGGAAATGAAATGACATGGACAGGAGCACAGAGGCTGGGAGACATCAGAGGAAGGAGAGTCCATTTTAGAAACGGGGATCAAACAGACCCATTTGGGAGACTTCCCTGGTGACCCAGTGGCTAAGACTCCGTGTTCCCAATGCAGGGGGCCTCTCAGTTCGATCCCTGGTCAGGGCACTAGACCTCATAAGACCCAAAGCGACCAAATTAATTAATGATCTAAAAAACAAAAACTAGACCTATTTGAATTCCGCCTGGCAGACTGTATCCTAGCCCCCTCTGGCATCCGTTTGGGAAGATTGGACACCCCTCCCCGCTCTACCCCACGACCAAAGGCCTGTGGAGGGCAGGAGGAACCAGGTCTCACGAATCATGTCCACCCCCTTTCCTCTACACAGCCTGGGATGCAGTCCACATACATGTGAGGCCAGACAGCCCTCTGGTCTGAGTTGTCACCTCTGAAAATGAGAAAATCCAATCCTCCCAGGGAGGTTATAACACTGAAATTTTGAACATGCGGGTAAAGCACTCAGCACAGTGTCTGGCATGCAGTCCTCACTGGAGAAACATTAGCTGTGAATATTATTTGCTTAATCAATGTTTGTGGAGGGAAGGAGGGTGGCGGGGGAGGCGGGAGAGAGCCGGGAGAAGAAGGCAGGTGAGCTGGCCCCTTCCCCAGTCCTGCCTGGCCGACGCCGAGAGGCAGGTCCCCTCTACCCTGCATTCGGGAACAAGTCTTCCTTGGCCTCCTTTCTCAAAGGGGCTGTTTTGAAGGCCCTGAAGCGAGAAGCTGGGCCAGGCGTCAGGGCGCACTGCCAAGGGCAGGGGGTCAGCCTGAACACCAGGGGACCGAGAGGGACAGAGGGTCCTTTCGGGAAGAACACCCGAGCCACTCCCCGCGGCGAGGCCAGGCCCTGCGGGGAAGCACCCTGGAGGGGTTACTCTGTCCTTGGCCCGCGAGTTCCCCGGATCTGATGAGAAGTCACAGAAAGGAACACAGAGAGCCTGGCCTCCTCGCCAGGGGGACTGTGTACCTGATAAATTGTATTTTTATGGTAAAAAGCGTGACACGAAGAGGCCAGGGAGCCAAAGACACGGGCTGGCTCTGTAAAGAAAATGAATTCCAGGGAGTGTTAAGACCAGCCCCAACCGCCTCTGAGGAGACACGAGGGTAAGGAGCAGGAACGGGCCGTTTCTGAGGACTGGCCTCTTCCCCGCTGCTCCGAGGGAGCCAGCACGTGGCCGACGGAAGGGACACGGAGCCCGGCGGGAGGCGGGGAGCTTGGGCAGAGGGGAAAGCATCCCGGGAATGGGCTCAGGGTGGCCGGACAGCATTTCTGAGAAACGGAGTCTTTGGAGATGCTCGTCTCCCTGGGCAGGAGGCAAAGTGGGTCTGCCCTAGACGTGTCACGGGGCGCATAGAGCATCTCCTTCTGTGCCCTCCCTTCCCCGGGCTCCACTCAGCCCTTTCTACCCAGGAAGATGGGACGAGATTCCAAATGCTGCAACTTTACCTCTAGCTTTTGCAGGGAACAGGTGTTTAAGTCATAGATATGAGGAGCCCGAAATCCAGTTCTATCCTTAAATAATTTCACAAATAAGAATCAAAGAAGCTCTGGGAAGTTCACATAAAGATGCACTGGCTGGAGGATTCACTGCCGAATTATCCTAAAACAATGAAACCTCCTACAGGCTTCCTGTTGGGGGCGGATTAGTATCCTGACTTAAAATATGTATATTCATGCTGTGTGTGTGCATGCTCAGTCGTGCCCGACTCTTTGTGACCGCACAGACGTAGCCCACCAGGCTCCTCTGTCCAAGGGATTTCCCAGATAAGAATACTGGAGTGGGTTGTCATTTCCTACTATCGGGGATTGTCCCGACCCAGGGATCGAACCCAAGTCTCCTGCATCTCCTGCACTTGGCAGGCACATTCTTTACCACTGCACCACCTGGGAAGTGCCACGTGGACTCATGTGTGTCTAAATAAATAAATTAATAAAATATTGATGATTTTGGACAGTATAATAGGTGATTTTTTTGTTTTGAAGTATAGGAGCTGGGGGAAATTCACTTTTGCTTCAGCTTATAAAACACTTTCTCCATGTTGAAAAAAAAAAAGGATAATAGAACCAAGAGAAAAAAAGAGAAATAACTGAGATTAGGGATGATCCTCGTATTCTTCCTCATGCTTTTTTGCACTTTTGAGTCCACTCTAAGGGGTTTACTATCTGCACTGGAACAAGCAACAACTGTTCATATTTTAAAAGGCTAGCTTGCCCACGTAGCTTGCTCTGTCTCTGTGAAAGGGCCTGAATTTCTGACACTGGTTAGACTTCTGTCCTCAGGTACTATGAGCACAGATGGAACAGTGGAAGAATCCAAAGTTTAGGATGACTTAGGAAAGTCATTTACTCTTGCTGTGACTCAACTCTGTCTGTATAATGGGAACATCAGCTTTGCTTACTGAAAAGAGCCTTTGTGAAGAGAAAGTTCACAACCTGCTCAGCTGTAAAGACCACATAGCTGTGACGGAGAAGAAAGCAGAGTCCTGATAAAATGCTCAGGCTCTAAGCGAGTTACAGTAACCACCACCAATGAAAACAGCCTCCAAGTCGTTTAAGGATTGAGAAACCATTTGCCTGGTCGGAGAACAAATGACAGTCAACACGATGACGGCATCTCTCACCTCCAGGCTGCTCCTTCTAGAGTCCTCTGCCCTAAAAAGGAGAATAAGACTCCAACCCTGGTCCTCTACTTAAAAATACTAATGGACACAGGATACAGTCAAATGCTCTGTCTGATACATCAGGTCTTTTAAAATCTGACCATAACCCACTGCCCAGCTTCACCTCCTGACACTCCCACACCCTCACGCCTAACACCTCAACCCAGCCATTCGCCAAATACTGCTGTTGTTGTCCAGTAACTGAGTTGTTTCCAACTCTTGGCACCCCATGGACGTCAGCATGCCAGGCTCCCCTGTCTTTTACCATTTCCTGGAGTTTACTCAGATCCATGTCCAAATATTCCAGACACTTTCAGGACTCTGGGCCTTTGCATACGCTATTCCCTTGGCTCATAGAGCCTCTTGGCTCCTTATATGACGAGCATCTTGTTCTCAGGCTTTGAAATCCAGTTCCAGGTCACCACTCCCCACTGCCCCACTGTACCTGGTGGAGTTGTTAGTAGTTGAGTGTTGCCCAAGCACTTAATGTACACCTCTGTACAAATCAGAAATAAACGTGATTTACATATGTGCATGTGTGGATACACATCCCTTACATACATATATGATAAATAAAAGTTTCTGGAGGGTGATCTGTATTTGCTTCAAAGATAACCATGACAATGATGATGTCTAATTAGACAGTCAGTACATGTTTGTGCTACAAACAAACAAAGACACACTGCTCCAGACGGGGTGGAGCGGGTGGAGGGAGGAACTCAGGGAGCCTCGTGGGCCGGGCTGTGGGCTCACCGGGTGATCTGCGTCCAGTTCGGCTCCGTAGCTGAGAATCTGATTGGCAAAGTTGTCGAGTTCCTGAATGGTTCTTGGAAACCAGGGCACTGCAACAGAGAAAGGGTAAAGGCCTGATTCACCGATGGTGAGACATGGCCAAAGGCCTCGCCAAGATCAGGAGCGGGGTCAGCTCCAATGAGGCCAGCCCATGGTGCTGGCAAGTGGGGCCCCAGATAACCCCCAAAACCTACTCAAAAGTCAAATCTCATTTTCCTTGGAAACCAATTCTATATATTTTTTGGCTTATTCAACACTGAAGTTGAATAAGCCAGTAAAAAACCTGACGATAGCTTAAGCGTATATCATGATGGTTTGATAGACATACACATTGTGAGAGGATTCCTCCTATCTGGTTAATTAACACATCCATCACCACACATATTTATCTTTTGAGGGTTCTATTCTCTTCACAAATTTCAACAATACAGTACAGAGTTATTAACTACAGTCACCATGTTTTACATTAGATCCTCAGACCTGATCCATCTGTTTTGGGGGCCATTCCACACGGCATGTGGAATCTCAGTTCTGTCACCAGGGATTGAACCCATGCCACCTGCATGGGAAGTACAGAGTCTTAACCACTGAACCATTGGGGAAGTCTCAGACCTCATCCATCTTATAGCTGAAAAGTTTGCACCCTTTTACCAGCCTCTCCCTATTTCCCCACCATTAAGCCCCTGGTAACCAGTTACCTACCTTATGCTTCTATGAGTTTACCTTTTTTTTTTCTCTCTTTTTGAAGATTCTACATATAAGTGATACCATTCAGTATGTATTTTTTTCTACCTCACTTATTTCACTTAAAACATGTTCCCTCACCTATTTCTTTTCCTGGATATTTTCTCTGAATGATCTCAAAATCCATCTCTTGTCATGGCACAGAGGAGTGGTATTTGATGGTTTACTTTAGCAGCAGAATATTTCGTGTGATATATATTCCAGATATATTCTGGAATAGGCATTCTATGCATGCCAAGTTGCTTCAATCATGTCTGACTCTGCGACCCTATGGACTTTAGCCCACCAGGCTCCTCTGTCCACAGGATTCTCCAGGCAAGAATACTGGAGTGGGTTGCCATGCCCTCCTCCAGGGGATCTTCCCAACCCAGGGACTGAAACCACATCTCTTATGTCTCCTGCATTGACAAGTGGGTTCTTTACCACCAGGCTTCCCTGATAGCTCAGTTGGTAAAGAATCACCTGCAATGCAGGAGACCCCAGTTCAATTCCTGGGTCAGAAAGATCCACTGGAGAAGGGATAGGCTACCCACTGCAGTATTCTTGGGCTTCCCTTGTGGCTCAGCTGGTAAAGAATCTGCCTGCACTGGAGGAGAACTGGGTTTGATCCCTGGGTTGGGAAGATCCCCTAGAGAAGGGAAAGGCTACCCATTCCAGTATTCTGGCCTAGAGAATTCCATGGCCTGTACAGTCCATGGGGTCAGAAGGAGTCGGACACCGCTGAGCAGCTCTCACTTTCACTTTCTTTCGGCACCACCTGGGAAGCCTGTTCTACTGTAAGCACCAGTAAGCCCATGAACCCTCCTCTTGAGACCCATCTTCCTTTCATGTATCTCCCTCCCAAGGGCCTCCAGGAAACCTTGCAAAATCTTTTGATGTCACAGCCATGGTGACATGGAATAAACACCATCCAGCAGTTTGGGATTTGACGATGCTCTGCAGTACCTAAAAACCCACGGGCTTGCTCTGAAGCAGTAGCAATACAGTGGGAGAGAAGGTGGGGTCTGAATGGTGTGACCCACGTGACTGGGTCCTGCAGAGCAGGTGGGAGCACCCAGATCTCGGTGGCCTTTAAGAAGGAAGGCACACCGAGAGTGGAACTGTCCCAGGAATGAATGAACAGAGATGAGGACATTTTGGATTGTAAGTTCCATGAAGTCAGGAACCAGACTGCACTGTAGTTCTATGTGCAGAGAGGGAAAGGAGGGAGGAAATTTTAGGGGAAAAGATGCTAAACTTGCAGCCAGTTGGGTCTACCTTTTAGAACCCAGGCTCCAGCTGCCTACTCACCCTCTCTGTGTCTTAGTCCCAACTCGGTAAAAATAGCATCAACAACAATAGGAAGCATCGTAAACATATTTTGAGGTTTTATCATATGCCAGGAATTGTCCTTAGCATTTTTGGTGAAATATGTCCTTTAATCTGGGGACTGCTGTGAGGCTGTGAGGAGTAAATGAGAATGTAGGCGTAGGATGCAGCCCAGCGGCAGGAGGATAAAAGGTAGCTTTCCACTGCTTACATGTTTCTGTCTGGCTTTGGTCAAGTCAGGCAGGAAAGAACATGCGTGCCATCTAGTGGTCATACTGGAGAACTGTCACCCATGGTCTACACACTAGAGCATGACAGGAAACAGCTACATTCTAGCTGATGATTCTACAAGATGATTATGTGAACACAAGTAATAAAGGTCCACTTAACAGCCTTCTTTCCATAGATCTAAGATGCTAATCTTTCTTCCCCCTGTGTTAGTAATAAAAACTAAATAACACTGAGAATCATTCCAAATACTTTACTTAGTATTTGTACTATTGGTGGATACTATTGTGTGTGTGTATTATTGGTGTGGGTACTATTGTATGTGTGGGTACTATTGGTGGGTACTATTCGATGAGTTGGATCATCAAAAAAACAAGAGAGTTCCAGAAAAAACATCTACTTCTGCTTTATTGACTATGCCAAAGCCCCGTATGGATCACAACAAACTGTGGAAAATCTTCAAGAGATGGAAATACCAGACCACCTGACCTGCCTCTTGAGAAACCTGTATGCAGGTCAGGAAACAACAGTTAGAACTGGACATGGAACAACAGACTGGTTCCAAATCGGGAAAGGAGTACGTCAAGGCTGTATACTGTCACCCTGCTTATTTAACTTATATGCAAAGTACATCATGAGAAATAACTGGACTGGAGGAAGCACAAGCTGGAATCAAGATTGCAGGGAGAAATATCAATAACCTCAGATATACAGATGACACCACATTTATGTCAGGAAGTGAAGAGGAACTAAAGAGCCTCTTGATGAAAGTGAAAGAGGATAGTGAAAAAGTTGGCTTAACACTCCACATTCAGAAAACTAAGATCATGGCATCTGGCTCCATCACTTCATGGCAAATAGATGGGGAAGCAATGGAAACAGTGAGAGACTTTATTTTCTTGGGCTCCAAAATCACTGCAGATGGTGGTTGCAGCCATTAAATTAAAAGCCATGAAATTAAAAGCAATTAAAATTGCCCCTTGGAAGAAAAGCTATGACCAACCTAGATAGCATATTCAAAAGCAGAGACATTACTTTGCCAACGAAAGTCCATCTAATCAAAGTTGTGGTTTTTCCAGTAGTCATGTATGGATGTGAGAGTTGGACTATAAAGAAAGTTGAGCATTGAAGAATTAATGCTTTTGAACTGTGGTGTTGGAGAAGACTCTTGAGAGTCCCTTGGACTGCAAGGAGATCCAACCAGTCCATCCTAAAGAAAATCAGTCCTGAATATTCATTGGAAGGACTGATGCTGAAGCTGAAACTCAAATCCTTTGGCCACCTGATGCAAAGAACCGACTTATTTGAAAAGACCCTGATGCTGGGAAAGATTGAAGGCAGGAGGAGAAAGGGAACAAGAGAGGATGAGATGGTTGGATGGCATCACTGACTCAATGGACATGAGTTTGAGTAAGCTCCGGGAGTCGGTGATGGACAAGGAGGCCTGGTGTGCTGCAGTCCGTGGGGTCGCAAAGAGTCGAACACAACTGAGCAACTAAACTGACTGAACTGATTGTGTGTGTGTTAATTGTTCAGTTGTGTCCAATTCTTTGAGACCCCATGGACTATAGGCTACCAGGCTCCCCTGTCCATGGAATTCTCCAGGCAAAAATACTGGAGAGGGTTGTCATTCCCTTCTCCAGGGGATCTTCCTGACCCGGGGATCGAACCTTGCATTGCAGTTGGATTCTTTACTGTCTGAGCCACAAGGGAAACCTGGGATACTACTGGTCTCCCCATATTGAAAATGAGAAAGCCAGGATACAGAGAGGTTAAGTGATAAACCCAAATACACACACTGCTAGGAAACAGTGGGTTCAAGATTCAAACCTGGGCCTGGATGATGTTGTGGTCTCAGGTCTGGACCACAAAACCCCTCCTGCCAGGTACGGGGGTGGGAAGCACAGCGGTTGGGAGAGAGGTTGGCTCTAGAGCCTGACTGCCTGGTTTTCTTTCCAGGGTCCCACCTGGAGGTCTGCACGCCCCCAAGCCCAGCCCACTTCTCAAGGTGGGCCCCCTACAACAGTAATAACAGGAACAGACGTTGTGGCAGTCATTCCAGCTAAGACTCAGAGAGCTCTTGTTCCGTGCCGGGCGCTGTCCTAAACACTACATACCCTTCCTCACCCAATTCTCAAAGCAGCCCCGTCAGGCTGGTGTTATTATCACCCCCATTTTCAGAAAAGGAAAGTGAGGGGCAGGAAGGATGAGCCCCTCCACAGACCCCCGCTGTCCCAGATGCTAGACTTTGGAGTCTGGGGTGACTCAGCCCCGCAGTCAGCTCACTGAAGGTGAGACCTGACCTCCCACTTTGTCACTTGAATTCTCTCCAGGCTTTTCTTTCTCCTTGAATCCAGGGCCTTGCATGAAGGATCTCTGTTGTCAGCACTGAAAATGGGGCCTGTTCCCTCCACGGGTCTGGGAGGGCATGAGGAAGAATGCCCTGTTGTAGTTGGTCAGGACTCAGGAGCCCTGAGACTCCTCTAAGACCCTCTAAGACCCTCTAAAACCCTGCCTGCTTCTCTAGGGTGTCGCTGCCCTGTCACTTCCCTCCCAAGGCTGCCTGTCCTCACTCATTCACAGCCTCTGTTTTGCCACAGATTTATCCATAATTCTGGCAATAACAGCCGCCCTTGGAGATACAGCAAGCCAGCCTTTCCTCACTGCACCATCTTCTGACTTGGGGGACCCTTAGCCCTGCCAAAGGAGTTTTCATGATTACGTATTGAGCACTTATTACCAGGCTCTGGACGCTGAGGAGCAAATACAG